CTAATTACCTGGGCCACGCCTGCACATTCACGCCCAGCCTGGGATTTTAAAGAAGTGTTTTTTCTCCCAGTTTTATTGCTTCCCACCATTGACAACCAGTTCGACTGCTTCTGTCTGAAGCACTTCTAGCAGGATGGCAGAGCCTCTGTCCTCACAGGTGGGCAGGCTTTGAGGAGGTCAGTGCCCCTGGGGGCAGAAGGTGAGGTGTCCAAGGAGGTCCATGGGACAGAAGGCTCTTAATTGGGTCACACAAGCCAAATCGCCTTGTAATTTGCGGGCTGGATATCAAAGGAAAGCCTCCACCCTGGGACAACACATCCTGCTGGAGCTAGCTGTGCATTGGGTCTGATTCGGAGGTTAGGACTACATGACTGATTCTTAGCAATTTGCAGCTGATGTCTTTAGGTGCTTTACATGTCTGAGTTTATTTAAGCCTCCCTACCGTCCACAATCATGTCGTGTGTGTGTGTGTGTGTGTGTGTGTGTGTGTGTGTGTGTGTGTGTGTGTGTGTGTTTCCAACATCTTTCTCAATTGCTCACACACAAACCCTTTTTTTTTTGAGACGAGCCTCTCAATAAACCCGGGAGCTGGCCATTGGATCTGCCTGCCTCCTTCCTGGAAATGGGACAACAGACAGACACCACATCTAGCTTTTGCGTGGTGTTAGGGCTTGAACCCAGGTCCTCCTGCTTGTGGGCAAACACTTCACCCACTGAGCCACCTCACAGCCCCCAGCTGTGCCTTCTAACAGAGAAGAAGCACAGATGCTATGAGGACTCTGGCTTCAGCCCATCACAGGGCTGGGACTGGAGTCTGGGGCTTTGGAGATTGTCCAGTCTCTTCTACTCTTGCTTCTTGGAAACACCTAAATATCTCACTAGAGCATAGCCGCTGGAGGATTTCCTGTGCCCATGGCCCTGAGAGAGTACACACTCTGGCCTCAGAGGACAGAAGTTGCTCGGGGCCTCTGGGGCAGAGACTGGTAATAAAAGGAATCTGAGCAATGGCAACCAGGCAGAGGGTCCTCAAAGCCAAAACCTCACTCTCGCCCACCCTTCTCTACAGTAGGTGTGCGGTGTGACTCAGAAAAACCTGCACACCTTCTCAGGGCCGGGCCCTATGTAATAACTTCTGAAATGAGGCAGTACAGTGTGGGACTTAGATAACTCTAGAGACATGAGAACTGCCAGCTCTCTTCCTCCACCAGCCCTTAGCCAAGCACCAGAACCTTCTGTTCTTACAGGACACCTGGAAACAGCTGCCTCACAGAGTACTGGAATCCCCCATTCCCCCTAGTGATAAATAGTTCAGGGTAGACTGTGGGTTTGGCTGGGGTACAAGGATCTGGGGTGAATGCAGGGGAAGGGTCTCCTTTCCGTCCCCTCAAATGCAGGTAAAACATTGGGAACCCCACCCCTTGACTCAAGAGACTGACAGCTACTCCTTTGTTATTACAGCCCTGGGAACAGGGCAGACACACTTGGCTCACACAGTAGCTAGAATTAAGAAGAGGTGTGTGTGTGTGTGTGTGTGTGTGTGTGTGTGTGTGTGTGTGTACATGCGCATTGGAGGTGGAAGTGCTGGTTTGTTCCTGTCCTGGAGCCTCATGGAAACCCCTCTTATTTGAACTCGCTGATGGCTTACCTAAGAACTCATGAAGATTTCTGGGTTGGGGAACCTATTGTCAAAAAGTTGGACCCTAGTCTATGTAATAGCTCAGGGTTGTAATCTTAGCCATTTGTGAGGTAGAGGCAGAAAGACTGCCACAGGTTTGAGTCTAGTCTACATAGTAAGTTCCAGCCCCCCCCACCAAATCCAAACAAAACAAAATGAAAATGAAAAAGAGAAAGAAAACATGGAAAGGCAAAGAAGAAACGGGGGAGGGAAGAAGAGGGAAGGTCAGGCCAGTGTGACTGACTGCACTCTTGCCTAAAGTCTTGGAGAAGCCGGAGGGAAAGGAAGAGGCTGTCCTGGTCTTTTGGTGAACAGTGCCCCCTCTTTGTCCCCTGAGAGTCTCCTTCATCCAGAGGGACCAGATGAGGAGATGGGAAATGGGAGAAGAACAAGAAAAGACAGAAGGAAAGTCTCGGGTTCCCTACGATCCAGCGGCTGTTTCTGGTCCTTGGAGTTCATGCGCCTGCCTCCCAGAGATCCAAGAAGTACTCTGAGCCTTAGGAGTAAGCAGGTACACAGAAGCTCAGACCAAAAAATAAACAAAACAGACAAAAGTCCAAATCCTACCATCCAAACAAAACCAAACCTCTGTGGGTAGGTGATGGAGGAAAGAAATCAAAAGATAAATATAAGTAGAAATGGATGGATGGATGGATGGATGGATGGATGGATGGATGGGTGACTAAGCAGATGAATAACTGATAAAATAATTGCAAAGGGAGGTACAAGGAGGGCAGGGGAGAGGAAGAGAGAGTAGAAGGAAGGAGGGAAGAAGGAGTAAACATAGACAGTTTGTAGGTAAGCGAGTAGCTTGCAAACGTTTGCCAGTGGGAGCTTGGCACCTGATTGTCCCTGCAGGAGACAATCTTGGCCTGTGGAGCTTGCTGCTTCCTCCCACTCTCCTGCCTCCATCTTGAGTTGTCAATCTGCAGCTCATCCCTAAGGTGCTGACAGCAGCACCTGGTGCTCTCATGGGCTAGAATGAGCCTGCTCCAACACATCCCAGGCCTGGGGTTGGTAGATGGATGATGGAGGTACACAGATGGTCTGGAGGAAGATGGGTAGATGGTAGATCCTGGAGTAAGCCACTCTCAGTTGTCCTAAGGGAAGGGAAGCAGGTTCAAAAGCTTCAATGGACATGGAATGAAGAGATGCTATTCTATCTTCCAAGAGGTGTTCCCTCTGATCTGAGGCCTCAGTCCAAGCACCTGCTTGTCCTACAGGAGACATCTAGCTCAGATGTGCCTAAGTTGGTTAGTGTTGGTTCATTCCTCACCTACTCCTGAGCACTACGGTGCACCTGGCGTTGAACAGGGACCCAACACACATTTAGGAATGAGTTCTTGATCTGCACTGGGGAGCTTGCAGTGTCATGGGAAAAGAATAAGTAATCCACTCAAATTTGGGGTTAATAGCTCATAAGAGAACAAGTACAAGGGGCTAGGGATGCCGAGAGGAAGGAGAGCCCAGGCCATCCTGCAAGCGACCTCTTATCCACCAGACTGAGTGGGTTCCCAGTCCTTATAAAAGCATGCTCGCTGCCCATGAGGTAGTCTTCAATTTCCCTAGCAGGTGCCTGCGGAGCTGAACCAGGGAGGTGAGGCTAAAGCTGGAACTGTAACTCAGTAGGGAGTGTGCTTGCCCAGCATGCATGAAGCCCTAGGCTCCATCCTCAGCATAAACTGGGCATGGTGGTGTATACCTGCAATCCCAGCACTCAGGAGGTAGGAGCGGAAGGATCAGAAGTTCAAGGTCTTTCTCAGCTACTTGGGAAGTTCAAGTCTAGCCTGGGCTATGTGAAGCTCCAACACTGAAGTAGAGGGGGGGCTCACAAGTCAAGAGAAAGGTGACTACTCCTTCACTCTCCCAGGCTTCCACTCTGGTTCTACATTTGCAACCACTAAGAGCTTGACTGCACCCAAGTGCCTATCTTCCTTCTGCAGCCAAGAAAAAGTCATTTCCTGATGATCTATTGTCACACACAAATTACAAAGGTTCCCAAAGGACCAAAGCAAAAGGACCTTTGTATATATATATATATAAAAACCCACTCTGGTTCTACATTTGCAACCACTAAGAGCTTGACTGCACCCAAGTGCCTATCTTCCTTCTGCAGCCAAGAAAAAGTCATTTCCTGATGATCTATTGTCACACACAAATTACAAAGGTTCCCAAAGGACCAAAGCAAAAGGACCTTTGTATATATATATATATATAAAAAAAAAGTCTTGAAAGAAAGGACAGTCAGGCATAGTGGTTCATGCCCTCAATCCCGGCACTTGAGAGACAGAGGCAGGAGGATCTTTGTAAGTTCGAGGCCAGCCTGGTCTACAAAGTGAGCTCCATCATGGCCAGGCTACACAGAGAAACCCTGTCTGGAAAAAACAAAAGGAGGGAGGGAGGGAGGGAGGGAGGGATCAGGGGCAGGCCTCCTCAGGTGTTCATTGCACTTATTATCCTGTCCTCCCTCTGGTCTAGCTTAAAGCCTATAGTGGAATAGAAGTCAATGCTGAACCCTCCCTCATGGCTTCCAGAGAAAAATCTGCCTTATGGAGCAGGGGTGACTTCGTGTATTCCCCTGGCTATCTCAGGACAAATGCCAGTCTGCCCCCACAGGGCTGTCTACTCCCACGCCCACCTGCAGCTGAACCTGGACTCCTCCCAAAGTCCTTTCAAGAGGAAGCTTGAAGCTGGTCTCCCTCCTGCAAGCCTTGATTCAGTGGGTGGAGCAGTCTCCTCCTCCCACTTTTGGTGACCTGACTGCACCTGACTCTACTAATCCTTCCCTCATGAAATAACAAAATCCCTTAAAAGGAATCATTTCCTCCACCTTCCTAGGAACCAAAAGACGGAAGGGGAGTGGCCACAGACCCATTTTCTTGCCTCTGGACAAGACTACCTAGAAAGTCTTTTATGTATATGTCTCCTAAAGGGTGACAGACCCTTAAAAACATGGAAGGAAAAACTTCCCAGTCTTCCCCAGACACTCATTCCAAGCTCTGGGACTACCTTTGCTGTGG